TTAAAGGCTCCTAACTGAACCAATATGTTCACAGGTAGGATCAACAATATAAGTGTAAACCTTTGAAATTTAGATGGAAGTGGAAGCTGCCTAATAAAACTCTGGTGCTGAATTCTATACAACATATACCAGTGCTTTAATTTTGTATTCAGGTCTCAAAGGACTAGAAGACAAACTGAACACATCTGCAATTTTCTGGATTAAACTATTATAGTTTTATGTAAAAACTCTGAATGCACTTAAGGTTTATGTATTGTAAAGGCATTGTGTAATGGTTATTCATTTCTTTGTTAAGAGCCTTTATCTAATGTTGAAATTTTGAATTAAAAGTTTTATGTTTACACCTATTTAGTTGGATCATTAGTTCAAGATGCAGACTAAGGAAGCTAGATAGTTATAAAGTATGTTTCATTCAACATTTTTTTAGAGCATTGGTATCTAACGCTGTATTTGTAAGACCATCAGTTATCAAGCCATGTAAGTGCTCAATTCCTTTTGAAGCTTTCGAGGGGTATTACAATTAAGTTTTCAGAATTGCTTTAGGATCATACAATTCTTTTGTGCTTTATTTTCATTAACAAAATAGTAATTAAAATTAAATTTTAAAAGAAATAACCACAGTAGGTCATACGTTTATTAACTTGAGGTAGATAATGAACCTGTCCTATATAAAGACTGAGCTAAATCTGCTGAGAGGCTTTGGATAGTGTATTTTAATTAAGGTAATCCTTATTTGCATCTAACAAACAGCATTGCTACTTAGACATTTAAGACCCTAGTGATGCATATTAGTACATTACCTCAACATATCTAATAGAGATTTAATACTTGTGTTTTAAGGAGCAATTTGTCATAAATTAAGAGTATTTGCATAGTAAATTTCAAGGATATTATTCTTTTCAGAGTTTTCTATAATTAAGCAACACATTAAACATTAAAATTTTATAATTTTGTAGTGCTAGGAATGCTTACTTTGTTATTAAACTGAGCCTCATTTTCAGCTGCACATAACTCTATGGAAAATTCTATTTTAATAAAGACATAATGAACATACTGTCACTAAGATTTTTTTCCCCTTAAATCTGAGTGATGGCCTACGTGTTTAAAGAATGTTTTAGCATGCAAAATGCAAGTCAGAAGACATTCATTCAGTTGGATGGAGAGTATTTAATCATTTAAAAAGGAGACCAAAGAGACTTATCCCAACCATACTGCTAAACACTTATGAGCTTCATCATATATAAATTAAGTGTTCTCTAATTGGGAGTATGGATAGAATCTTTCTTTAGTCAATTAAGTGTTTATAGTATTAGTATCTATTTTAGTTAGTTAGAGTAAAGGAATTAAAAAGACCATTTTAATTAAGAATGACAACTTTATTCTCAAGGTCCTTTTTATTTTGATGGTTAACAGGATAATTTTAGCATTTGCATCTTATTGATCCAGAGAGAACGATTTTATGAAATATACCTTAGAAATAAGGCTCAACAGTTGAGTTCACCTGTGGTCATGTAGATTTGACTTGTCGTGAAGGCCTCTGTCACTTAGACATCTTTACGTGGGAGAAACTTAGGTAGGGCATGAAGGGCAAGATTCCTTTCCTACAAAGAAAGAATTAATACCTTGTTCAGCTTACTTTAGACTTCTGTGTGTTCTTTGTGCTCATCATCTTCTCCCATAAACTAACTAACTCCCTTTGCCTTTCCAACCAAGAGAAAAAGATCTAGAAAATGTTTTCCCTCAGTATCTAGAGAGTTCATTTCATTGGCTCCCCTTGCTTGTAGTAGTTTAAAAGATTCCCCACAGCAGGGAATGCAACTGTTTAATATTCACTCAATGAGTGTGATGTTTCAAAGAACTAAATTCAAATTATATGGGTGTGGGTGCTCTATATGTGGTCATTTTTAGTTCAGTTTTGCATCAGTTTTAATAACAATGTTAAAATATTTAGATACTTAGTTGTATCATGTTGGAGCCAATATAGAAGGTATTATTTCAAATTGTTTTATAAATAAGAAATATTATCAATATATTTATTATTCTTATGTACAATTGGCTAAAAGTATCTAATAATTATAATGTATAAAAACTAGTTACATCTGAGAGGTAACAGTAATAAAATGTTATTTGAATTCTTTCATTACAAGGGCAAGTTGAAGTTGTGGAAATAACAGACTGCTGAAGAGACTCCATTGTGGGTTCAAATCTCAATATTGTGATTCCTGGCTGGGTAATCTTGGGCCTTAATTTTTACATTTGAACATTGGAAATCACATTGCAAGGGTAAATATTGGCTCCCTGTTTCCTACACTATCAAAGAATATATTAATTTGGAAGCTCTAGTGATTTCATGGACAAAATGTATGGCAACTGTTCCTTCCCTGTTGTGTTTTTGCTAACCGTTCACTCACCCTTACCCCTCTCTATTATTTAAGAGTTGAAAAACTAAAGCCCAGAAAGACAAAATGATTGATTTTTGGGTAAAACCCTAATTAGTTGAAAAATAAAAATTAGTAGCAAAGATCAACTCATCTGGGTCACTCAGTCATGGGAATGCATCAAGTGTTGCCATAATCCCCAACTCCTTACTCTCTCTTATAACTGTCACACATCCCCGATGTTGAAGTTACTTTATTGTTTCTTGTATACTTTCAAGCCCTTGAATAAATTTCCTCCTTCCACTCACTACCAAAATGCCGAGAAGAATCACCTATATTGATATTTCAGTTCCCTCATTATTCCATTTTCTTAGCCCCTGTAATAAGCTTGTCTTTTCCCAATCATATTTAATAGAAATTCCTTTCCAAGGTCATTAATGACCCTTCTTGGTTACTTAGTGAGGAATGGCCAAATTGTCTGTTATGTCAAAGAATTTACATAATGTGTCTTAGTGTAGGACTACTTTCAGGCTGTTTTGTTGTTTAGGTTGCAATTTTTAGATGCTCAGTAAAACTTGATGATTGGAAACTGATCAACTAATATGCTGACTTGTGGGTGACCAAATCTGTCTTCTAATATAGCCATAAGAGCTAAAAATAGCACACAACATTTAAATACTTATTCAGGACTGTCTATGTATCCATGACTGAGCCCTTGCTCTTTATTAATTCATTTAATTATCACTACAATCCCACAATGTTGATATTGTTACCACACCCATTTTACTTATGAGAAAACTGAGGCACAAAGAAGATAAAATTGTCCACACAAAATTGTCATGGGACTGGGAAGCTGACCTAGGCAATCTGATGCCATAGCCCAAGCTGTTGAACACTTTGCTATTCTGTCATACATATTTTGTAGGCTAAGGAAAACTGACACAAAGATACGTATGGGGCCCAGATCTTTCCTTCAGTATTTATTTTTTTTCCATTTGAGGTAGCTCTAGTGGAGGGCATGCATGGGAAAAGATCGGAGAGGAGCAACAGAAGAGAGTAATTGGAGTCAGCCAGATGTAACTGTGGGTTGGCTCTGCAACTCCTTTGTATGACCTTAGGTGAGCTGCTGAAGCTCTCAGAAGTTCCTTCTCAGTAAGAGGTCATGCCCACACCCATACCATCTCTATCATGGGCTTCTGTTTCATGTCATCTAAGTAGCAGATTTCTGTTCCAGAGTAAGAGCTTTATACACTGTAGCTATTACTGTAATTTGTCCACTTATTTACTTTAGAGATGTAAGGAATCTCAATAGTACTCTTTGGCACAGAGTGCCATCATTCAAATGTTAAGGTTTGCTTCATTTTTGATATCTTGGTAATCTGCAATGTCCCTAGTTTCTATGATATGAGCTTTATAGTTGTGTTTTCAAGTCAGTATTATTTTTTCTTCTGGCATATAGATTTTATCTCATGATAGAGTCATAAACATCTGTATGAAATTCAGGGCTCACAGCATTAATCCAAAATATCTTAATGAAGAACTGATTTGCAGTTAATCTCTATGATAACACTTTGTGGGAATCAGTAGTGATTAAGTTAATTTTGAAGGAATAACCCCAACACAGTATGTTTTCATTTGGAAAGAGGGGAAGGAGTTTCATTTTTCATTTGAATAAATCTTTATGGAGTATATACTAAGTTCCAGGGTCTATACCTGGATAGAGTGAATATATTTCATTTTAAGTGTTCACTAAGCAATTAGGCAAGGCTGTCTGTTAGGTTGTGTTAAAATGGATTATGATTCTGAGCCTGCAGGAAAGAGTACTGGGGCTTGGGAGGGGACATGAAAAAATTAGACTCTGTATTTGCTGTTTATGATGTAATCATAACAATATATCCCAAATCTCAACCTGAGTCATGTTGTATTAGAATCTCACTGTTTTTATAAAATGCTTTGAAGATGTCGTTTTTAGATTATTACTATTCTATTATTATTTATGTAGATACACACATATAATATAATAATATATTAATCGTATATTATGTGATTTCTGGTATATTTTGCCTCACCCGTAAGATTATTTGATACTGTTTTTGTATGACCAATGTATAGGAGCTTATCTTCAAAGAGAAGTTATTAATTATCTTCAGATAAATAACAGAGATATAGTATTTGACCTTTAGGAGTTTGGAGCTTAAAACAGGCAGTACTAAGACCAAAACACCCTATAAATATCAAACAGGTACATAATTTGAATAAAACATTTTGTGTTTCCAGAAATGTCACTTACCTACCTTAATCAGCATGTGTGCTAGTAATTTTTGCATCTGTTTCTGCAAAACGAGAAAGAACTAATGATTCAATTTTAATGGGGAAAGAGCAAAGATGTCACAAAATCATACAGATCTTATTATTGTTATGCTCATTCTCTATGATTACTTCACTAAAGTATTAACCTTTTAAGAAAATTCATTGCACAGTTGGTTGCAGTACTGTGATCTGCCAAATTACAGCACTCTGAATGTTTACAAGTCACAGAGATTCCCCAGAGGGTCTACCTAAATTCCCTGAAGGGAAAGAAAAATTAAAATCATTGTTTCCCCCTTCTGTTTTTGTTCACAGAGAGAACAGACTTGTTTGTCAAGAACAAACACACAGAGCTGAGAGATCAGGAAACGGTGGGACCAGGGAGCCAGACTCTGCTTTGCTTAACACGATTGGAAGGAGTGACTCCAACAGCCAGTCACCACGAGGCGTCTCAGTGTCTGGGGAGAATTCGTGTGAACTGTCAGCTGAAAGCATTGACAGCTTCCCATTAGTAATGAATTATGGAAATAATTTTATTAATTTCTTCACCTCAATCAGTACATGTTAGTGAAAGTTGCTCATCCAAACATCAAAGAACCATTGCATTTTAACCTTTTAGTCTTTTACCGTGTAACCAGGAACAGCAAAGAAATAAATTAGTGTAGCATTCCTTTAAAAAAATGCCTGGAGATAAGGAGTGGACATAATTTTTTCTGTTTTTAATTTAATAGCAGGTTTATGGTTTTATGCAAAACCATTCACATTACATTTGACCCTCTGGGAGCTGCTTTTTTTTCTGTGGATATAATTTTGAGTCTTTAATAATCCGTTGTTAAACCCAGTCTGAGTTTGATTAATGAATTGTGATGAACCGGTGCATTAATTTGCAGGTTTGGTCTAATGCCCTAAAAGGCTGCTTTGTTGCAGGTTATTAATGCTCAACTCTTCAAGAGGAGCCATGGGGTGGCGACAGTGTGTCCCGTAATGAACAAGCTACACATTTGAACAGTCCCAGTGATAGAGCTGCAGCTCTAGAAGTCACCATGGAGCTATGTTATTGAAAGAAAGAAAATCCTGATTTAGCTTAATGCCCTAAACAGGGGGCCACAGACCTCCAGCTCCACAGGTCTCCGCATGGAATTCAGGGGGAATTTGTGAATTTTGATAGGAAAAAAATCTTTTATTAACCTCTAACTGAAATTTAACATCATTCAATTATGAATGTAGGTGACAACCATAGTATTCTTAGCCGTGTCTGTGACTTTGTCATCTCTGGAAATCATAGATATTTCCGTAACACGTTATAGAGGTGCAAGTACCTCACCATGTCATTTGTATTTGTCACTACCACAGAATTATAGTAAATATGAGGACAGCTGCCTGACTTATTTAATGTAATAAAGAAGTACATATATTACTATCTTGTTCATTTTTTTAAAAAAAATGACTATTTCCAATATAACTGGTTTCATTTGTAATTTTATTTTAGATATTAAAAGCAAGATTCCAAGAAGGGGTTTCTGGCCCCAAATGGTTAAGAGCCCCCTTTCCTGAGTGACTGCTGTCTGTGCTGCCCCTTAGTGATACTTTGACCTGTTCCTCAGAGCTCTAGTTTCAGGAACATGCAAGCTTCAGATTTGTTACCAATGCAGCCATGATAGCAATGACTTTTTTTTGACAACAAAAAGTTGTGCAAACGTCATCAACTTTTCAATTACTTCCCTCCTCACTTTCCTCCTCCTAAGCTCTCGAAGCTATAAACTGCTTGTTTTACTCACTGATATTTCCCCAACACATATGTTATTTGACACATAGTAGGCACTTAGTCAGTATTCAATATATGAGTGATAGCTTTAAGAGAAAGTAATTTTTTTGCCTCATTTGAGTAAATCTGGGTTTTAAATACTTTTTTTTTAAGGAAATAAAATTTTGTATCCACATTCTAAAGAGTTTATTACATTATAAAAAGGTATTTACAAGGCATTAGAAATGTTTATAGGAAATAATATTGAGCAGTTTATTGTTCAGTTGCTCAGTTTATCAGGGCACTGTTGATTCTCATAACTGATTTTTTCAAAGCATTGTTACAATTAAACGAAGAGAACTGGAATTCTCCAAAGACAAATATAGTGTTAGAGAGTTAGGAAAATCAGATTAAGTAAAAAGATGAGCCTGTGTGTTGGGAGTGCCATGTAAGTGTGTGGATGTGTTTGTGTGTCTCTGTGTAAAGAGATCCAACGTAGTGAAAGAGTCTTTAGAGCTGTAAGTTGCCTTAGAGATTATTTTGCAATTTAATTTAACAAGTATTGAAACTGAAGCACAAGGAGGTTAAATGACCAGTGACCTCCTAATTGCTAAATCCAATAAACTCTTCTCAGACCTTAACTTATTTGACCACGCTATTGCATTTTATGTGTTTACCTTCTCCAAGCCTGTGCATGGGCTGCTCCTGCCACTCAGAATGCCCTCCATTCCACTCCTCCTAACCTTGCCCCCTACTCTTCTCCTAGGACCACACATCTTTTAAGCTGTCCTGGTCTCCAGCCCTCAAGCAGAATTTTGTTTTAGTTTAGCGTTTCTCAGTTTTTCTCATTATTTTCCCTAACAGCCTTTTCAGACATTTTCTCCCCTTAATTCTCCTCACTTTTCCCCTTGCCCCATTCTCTGGTGGAATTTTAATGCTGCAGGTAGACTCGTATATATTTTTATGCATTGTGACCTTTAGGAAGGCAACAAACGCTTATACTATCTAAGACTTTTTTCCCCCTCAAGGACCACTTTCTCCTCCTTTGGGTAAGATCACCCTTGTTGAGAACGTGTGCTCCAGTGGAACCCAAATGTCACAAGACTTTCCCCATCCTGTGGATTCAAAATAGGGTCACAAAGGGCTCCAACCTTTGCCCATTTTGCTAAGTTAAATTCCATGGGATTTCTTCCCTCCCCAGACTCCTCATGGTATCTATCTGTTGTTAGGAAATTAGTCTTTGTTCTGTCTGCCTGTTTCTGCCTGTAGGGAGCTGGGACACAATACTGCCCTTCAGAATGAACTGTACGCCCTTGGTCGTGATGGTTCAGCCTGACAGAGTGCCACTGGTGAGCAGTGAATCTCAGAACCTTCTGTGGTTGCTGCCACAGCTGCCTGGTGGGGTGGGAAAGATAGTCACTATTGCTGCTCTTGCTCTTGGCTGTAGGTGCTTATGTTTTCTGGCCTCGGTCTAAATATCTGGTAAAGTAATTGCTCAGCCAAATATGCACTACAGCAATATTTTGTGGTGATGTAACTCTTTCAACTCCCATCTCACATAGCCATGTTCTCTAGGTGCACTCAGGATACCAGTTTCAACTTTCTGGATGCCTCGCAGTCTCTCCTGCCTTCAAGCTTGGCTCATATTGTTTCATCTTCCTGGAATATTCTCTCTTCTTCTTTTCCACTAGAAAACACCAGTCTCAGTTGCAATATCATTCCTTTCAGGAAGCTTCTTGGAGGCCTGTTCAGAATAGGTGTTATTTCTCCTGTGTGCTCTGAAGGTGTCCTGGATTCCTAGATTATTATATACAGATTGTTTCTTTGTGTATATATCCTATGATACTCCAAGTTCCTTGAAGGCAGAAAGCATGTAGGGTTGTCAGATTTAGCAAATAAAAATACAGGATTCCCTGTTAAATGTAGTTTCCAGATAAACAACAGATAAGTTTTAGTATAAGTAGTTCCATAATTGGATATTTGAATATGGAACATACATATTTGAACACTTGAGTATAGAAAATATATATACTAAAAAATATTCATATTTATATGCCATTCAAATGTAACTGGTCATTTTATATTTTATCTGGCAATCTTATGAACATATATTGTGCTTATTGTATTCCTGGAGCCTAGCACAGTTCCAATCATCTAGAAAGTACTCCATAAATGTTTATGAAATGAATAAATTTATTCTAGATGCTGGAGACATAGCAGGGAATGAAAACAAAAGTCTTTGCCTTGTTGGAGATTACATTCCAGTGGATGAATATAGACGATAAATAAATAAGCAAAATATATGGTATGTCAATGTTGGTAAGAGTTATGGAGGAAAACACAGGAGAAAAGAGGACATGATATGGAACTATTTTTTTTTCTCTCCAGACTTGCTCTGTGTTCATTTGTTTTCATCTCAGCTGATGGCAATTCTATTTGTCTTTTTGCTTGGATCAAAACTCTGGAAGTTATCTTTTGTCTTTCTCTTCCATATCTCATCCAACCTGTTAGGAAATTATTATTATTTTTTACCTTCACAATATATCCAGAATCTGACCACTTATCATCACCTCTACTGGTAGTTCCTTGCTCCAAGCCAGCGTCATCTCTTGCCTGGGTTATTGCAGTAGTATTCAAGATGGTGACCTTTCTTCTGCCCTTGTCCTTCTATATCCCATTTTCAACACTGTAATCAGACCAAGTCTTTTAAAAGGTAAGTCAGATCATACCATTTTTTTCTTTAAAACTTTCCAGGGGCTCCCCACTTTTTTCATTCTAAAAGATGAGGTCCTTAAAATGATTCTCATGGTTCTTCATGAGAATGCCTATTTCAACCCCTATTTCCCATCCTCCTCCTGTTACTTCTCTGACCTCTCCTCAAAAACTTTATCCCTTTAAGATGAGCAACTAACTCTCTTGGTTTGCCATGGATGCTCCTGGCTTTACCACTGAAAGTCACACATCCGAGGACACCCCTGAGTCCCTGGAAAACTTGGACAGTTACTCGCCCTACAAACCACTCTGGTCATAGATGTCTTTTCACTGATCCTCAGGCATGTCGGACACACTCACTCTTACCTTTGGCTTTGGCATTTGTTTTGCTTATTTGGAAAGTTCTTTCTCCTACGTCTGCATGACTCATTTCCTTACTACCTTCGAAATTTTATTCTGATTTCATTCTCACTAAAGCTTGCCTTGAACACCCTATTTCTAATTACAACTCTCTTCTCATTCCCTCTTAACAGTGTCACTAATATCCCTTACCCTGTTTTAGTCTTATATGCATAGCATTTGTATACTTTTAACACACTGTATAATTATTGATGCATTTATGCTTATTGTTTGTTTTCCTCTGCTAAACTGTAAGCCCCATGAATGCAGAAATCTTTGTTTTGTGTGCTATTTTGTCCCAAGCACCTAGAACAGTACTTGATTCTTATTGGTGCTGGATTAGTATTTGGTGAATTAAACTGAAGAGGGATTGGAGGTTGTTTGGGGTGGAGGGAATTTCAATGATAGATAATGGTCACGGAAGAAGGTGATAATGGAGAGACCTGCTTTGTGAATCCAGGAGAAGAAACAAGGAGAGGAAATGGTGAGTGCAAATGTCATGAGGCAGGAGTGTGCCTGGCCTGCCTGGGAAGAGTGATGAGCCAGTAGGGCTGGAGCAGAGCAAACACAAGGTAGTGGTAGGAGGTGGTATAGGAGAGGGGCTGGTGTTTCAAATCATGTAGAGACCAAGATTATAACAATCCTTTGGACTTCATTGTGCATGAAATAAGAATCCAATTGGACAATTTGGTGGATGGAGATTGGTGACATGATCTGATTCAGCATTAACAGTTCACCCGGTGGCTATGTTGACCAAAGACTACAGGGAACAAGGGCAGAAAAAGGGAAAGCAGTCATGAAATTGAAGAGAGAGAGGTGCTGTTGGTTCAGACAAGATTGGTAGCTGGGGAGGTAGCCGGAAATGGCCAGATTCTGGATGTACTTTGAATTAAAGCCAACAGGAAATGTTCATGAACAGAATGGGGGATGTGAGAAAAAGAGGAGTCAGGAATAATTTCTTGTCTGTTTTTAAGTAAACTTTTCCTTCAAATATAGCATGCATGCAGAAAATGCCCAAAGCATAAATGTGCAGCTTGGGGAATTTTTCACAAAGGTAAAACACTCATGTAATCACCTCCTCCTGCAAGACATAGAACATTATCAGCTCCCAAGGGGCCCTGCCTGTGTCGCCTCTTGGTCGTCATCCCTCTTTTCTCAAGTGACCACTGCCACTGGCTTTTCCCACTAAGAACAAGTTGGTCTATATCCACAAGTTTTAATATGTTATGTTATTGTCATTCAGTTCAAAAATATTTTCTAATTTCCATTGTGATTTCTTCTTTGACCAGTTTCCAAACATTTGTGGGATGTTCTGGTTACCATTTTTGTTTTTTTACTGGTTTCTAGCTTAATTCTACTGGGGTCAGAGAATATATTAACGGTTTCAATATTCTGAAATTTGTTTGAACTTGGGGACTTGTTTTATGGGCCAGCATACGGTCAGTCCTGGTAAATGTCCCGTGTTCCCTTATTAGATGCAGAATTTTTAATATATCAATTAAGTAAAGTTTATCAATGATACCATCTAGTTGATTGTTTAATAAGTAACTGAGAAAAATACA